GCCCCATTGGTTCCTTTCCTGCTGATTCAAAGGCATGTGCTGTTCAAACACCTCAGGTTTGAACATCTGATAGGTATTCTTAGTGCAATTTAATCCATATTTCTCTGAATTTTTTGGATTGTTTCAGATATCCTTCAGTGTTGATAGGCATAATGTTCAACAATTTGGCTGTGCTTCTGCTCAACTTGTTCCGGTTTCTCAGAGTTCGATACCCATTGGGATGAGCAGTCCTTTGTTCAAGGTTCATGGCTCTTGCAATGGCCCGAATCTTGCTGCCACTGCTATGAAGCCTCAGTCTTTGGGATCAAGTAACAGCTCTTTGCTAGGACCAGGTGTTGGATCCTTTGCTCCAAGGTTGATATTTTGGCTATATTTAGTTTAAAGAAATTTTAGGAAATGGAAATTGAAGTGATTAATAAATGGAATTGAAATTAGTTTTAACCCACTTGTTTGGCTCATGACAAAATGAATGGAAAAGGATAAAAGTGTCAAAACGGTCCCCTGACTCTTTGGAGGGGGGGGGGGGGGGGTTTTTTCCTCAGGTTTTTTTAGAGTTTTTATAAAAGTGTCGATTGGTTCCCGAATTCTTTTAATATGAGTCGAAATAGTCCTTAGTAAAGATTATTTTATCCCTCGTCAAAATAATCCGGAAACACATTTAGTACTTTTATAACTCTGAGGCTAAAATGACCCAATGTAAATAAACATGAAACTATTTTTGCACTTTACTCAATGGAAACGTAGCTTAGAAAACTCAACCTTAATGTTTTTCATACTTCATTTTTCAATTGGTTTACATTTGTTATAACTTCATCGATAGAATCAATTTCCTATGACTTAAACCCAAATCAATCAAAACAGTTTAAGATGTAATCATGAGATAAACTATATCTCCCATTTGCTTAATTCCTCCAAACCAAACAAGCTTTTATGTTATTTATTCAACTTTATGGAAACCAATATCACGTAACACTACACATTCTAAAGTTCTAAGATAATTTCTTTCCTATACATAGGAATATCATGAAATCTCCTCCAACTACTGCACAACTCACCATATTTTATGCGGGTTCGGTGAATGTATATGATGATGTCCCTTGGGATAAGGTATTATTCTCATTCTTATCTTCAGATTGAGATTTTAATAATGAAAACAAAAGATATCAATGCATTAATACTTCAGCTGTGTATTTTCGTCATTAGGCCCAAACCGTTATGCTCAAGGCAAGTGAAGGGTGCAAAGCAACTACAAATATTGTTCATACAAAAACTGAAGCGCCAGTTCTTCCCCTTACCAAAGGGTCTGTTTCTGATGGCCTGAGAATTTCACAATCTCCGATGCCGGTCAACAATCATGCGGTGTCTTCGACTAGCCATGGTGAGACCTCAATGGCTATGAACAATTCCATGGTAGCAGCTACTACAGCTACAGTCATGCCTAGAGGTAACTGGATCTTTATATTGTGGTGAACTTTTGGATTCAAATAGGGAAAGTTTAAGAGTTCTGAGTAAAATTTTGTTTCTGGGATGCAGCTGTGCCTCAGGCTAGGAAGGCCTCATTAGCTAGATTCCTGGAGAAACGGAAGGAAAGGTATGAATTTGTGTGCAATACAGAATTTTCTAATTGTTTTAGTGAGACAACTCATGAAATTATATTGTTTGAAAGTGAGTAAGATTTGTTCTCTGGCTACTTCCATGAATTCTTCACCTTCTATGTGCCTAGCAAGCCTTAAATTCTATCCATGTTGATCAAAGATACTTGATAAACCTATTTTAGATGATTTTGTGGCAATTTTACTTCATACAATGCCTGATCTCATTACTAAAGTGGCAGAATATATCATTCACCATTTACATAATGTCCTTTTAGTCCTAGAGTCTATGAAAATATCAAATTAATCCCAAACTCTTTAAAAATTTGCTAAAACAATCCTCACTTCAAAGAGTCCGAGGACTAATTTAAATAAGTTCACGAACTAAATTGACACTTTTATAAATTCTCGAACTAACGTAACGCCAAAGTCAGGGGACCATTGTAACCCTTTTCTCCATCAACAAATAATGCGCTCGCACCCCATCATAACGTCCTAATTTTGAATGAAATTTTTGGCATATATATAGATGTGATGATTCTGTCTTTTACTGTTGTTTTTTATCTCTCTTTGTTTTGTTTAAATGAAAAACTCACCATCTCTCCTGCTAACCTTTCAGGGTGACCAACACAATGCCCTATCCATTTGAAAAAAAGGATCCTTCATGGTTCAAAGGCCAAGCAAAGAACTGTGAAGAAAAAGTTGACTCCCCCAGCACTAAACTGGAGATGTAAGCTTTGTTTTTAAGCTTCAGCAAATCATCTCATTATGGGAGTTTAGCCAGATTTCATTCATTTTGGATCCCCTCTATGTCAGGTGCTGTACACTAGTATTTCATTTTTAATTTATTTTTTTTTAAAATGTTGATTAAGAACTTATTATGCGGTTATAAATGAGTGTGAGAGCCTATAAATATATGGTTAAATTTTGTTTTTATTTTTCTTCTTTTTTTTGTAGTCCCATGTTATATTTATGATATCTGATTATGCTTTTTTCTGTATTGTATATAGTTTTCTTAACTTTTTATTTATGACAAGGCCTCAAAGAATTTCCACTAACGAAAAAATTGAGTAAAAAAGCTTATTTTGGGCTTTGTTTGCTAAAAAAAATATTGTGTTCGAACTCTAGATGCGAAGCTACGTCTGGACAACACACGCAATACACCGGGCGGAGTATCGCGTCTGTTTTCTGGACTTCAAAAGCAATATTTTTTTCCTCTTTGCTAACCTCGATTTATAGGTTTGAATCATATAGAAAAAGCTATATAATATAATATGGTAAACGAAATATAAAAATATAAAGCAAGACTCATTGATTTTTTGTAATAAAATACAAGAGGCATGTAGGCTCAATGAGAATTTGTACTTGTAGTCAGACAACTAGAAGGAAGTTGTTTGTTCATCTGAAGGGGTTTCTAGGAGTTCCTGAACTTTGATGACTATGTCTAAATTTGGTGGGTCGACATGTTCACCATCAATCCATGTGTTTGGCGAGTTCTTCACGATTGTAACAAAACTGTCTCGAGCCTGGCTTGTGAGTATTGCCTCGAAGCTGATTGGCATGTCCGCTTTAAAATCAACTGATAACTCCATCTTAAACCCATGTGGGTGAGTTTTTCTCGAATCCGGATGTTGAGTTTATCTTGCATTCCACTGCAAGTTTTTCAATATTTTACGGATCACTATGATGCACATATATTTTTAATTAAAGAACAATGCAGTGTCAGTAGAGTTTCGGATATGGGCATGTCTCTGACAGCTCCGACAACGTATCAGACGTAGCATAGAAATGTCTGATTTAAATACACATATATTTTTAATTAAAGAACGATGCAGTGTCAGTAGAGTTTGGGATATGGGCATGTCTCTGACAGCTCCGACAGCGTATCAGACGTAGCATAGAAATGTCTGATTTAAATAATATTAAAAAAAAAATACTTGTGCTCCTAAGTTAATGAATTAAAACTAAATAATATTTTTGAATCTCTTAACTTTTAAAATTAATGTATTAATGAATTAAAACTAAACAATATTTTTGAATCTCTTAACTTTTAAAATTAATGTTATTAAATTTCTTATTATATTTTCTTTATTGTTCTCAAAGTCCTATTTTATTAATATTTATTTATTTTTTATTTATATTAGTAAGTCTTACATACTACTACTCATTTCTTATGTATTTATATGAGTAACACCTAAATTTTAATATATATCTTTTCAAAATTAAGATTTTAATATACACCTAAATTAATGAATTAAAATTTTAAGAATATTTTAATATATATCTTTTCAAAATTAAGATTTTAAAGAAATTATTATTTTATTTAAAAGTTAAATTTATATTTATCTAATATAAGACAGTTAATACTTTTTTTTATATTATAGAAAAAATAATATATATAGCTCCCATGCTTTTTTTTATATTATATATATATATATATATATACTTAAAATCTTCTGTTTTTTATAATTTATGCAAATAATATTTGCATACATAACACTCAATTCTTATGTATTTACATATATAATATTTAAACTTTAATTTTTTATATAGATATGTCACTTTATTTATGCATGAAACTGTGTTCTTCACTTTTTAAAAGCTAAAATATTAATGTTTTAGATGTGAAAATGAATGATTTGAGTGGTATAAATGTAACAAGCAAAGTTTGGGGGCTAGATATGTAAATATATAATAATCAGGTGATTTGCATTACATTAGGCCTCCGCACGTCGAGTTACTTGTAGAGCCCAATGAAATCATGTCACGTAGAAAAAAAAATGTTTGGTTACACAAGAGAATATTCCTCCCGTGTTATTCAGTTGTTATTGTGTGTTATTAATATGTTATTGTGTGTTATTCAAGTATTATTGATGTGTTATTGTGTTATTATAACACCGAGAATATTTCCAGAACACAATAACGCTTGAATAACACACAATAATATATGAATAACACGAGAGAAATATTCTATTGTGTACACGGCGTAATTTCATTGGACTCCGCACGTAGAGCGTGCGGACTCTGATGTAATATTTTTTCTAATTTCAGAATATTTATGATAAAAGAAGGTTTGTTTTCTAAATATAATAAAATTGAGGGTTATTATGTTAATGGCTTCAATTTTTATTATTTTTAAAAATTATTATGATTTATATATTTAGAATTATTATGTTTTATTTTATTTTCTCATTGTAATATATATTTGAATTTTATTTTAACTTTATTATAAGACACCTATCTATTTATATATTTACAGAACCGCCCATCCATCTAATCCCAATATAAAATTCTCCTGAAAAGGTCTTCTTCCCCAGCTTTCTTCTATATAAAATGAGCATAAGCTTAAAATAATATAATTTAGCTCTCAATTATTATATTTCATTAATATAACTCTTCGACTTCATATAATTAATCCCAAAAAAAAAAAGGTCTTGTAAAATTCATAATAAAAAAATAATCTTATTTAAGCATCACTATTATATAAACTTAATCCCATTTTTTTCTCTAAGAAACCGTTTTAGATTAATTTAACATAATCAAGAGATAATCAAAGAAATCTCATATTTTTTAATTAAAATGATCATATCAATCATCACTAATTTCAATTTAAAAAATTTAAATACCGTATTTATATATTTAATATCTAAATATTTATATTTATATTTATAATATTTTGGCATGAAAGTATATTTTATTTTTTAAAAAATAAATTATAATTGTGATGTTTTTAATGTGATGTTATAGATTTGAGTGGTATATATGTAAATATGAAAGTTTACGGTGCGTTTAGGGTGGCTGTTGCTTGGAGGCTTTCTGTGATGGGACAGTTGTTACAGCTGCTCCCCTCCAACACAAGATTGTGATCTTTTGACCATGAAAGATGCTCTCTATATGGCTTTGAATACTTTATCCTGATCAATTTATATGGCTTTGAATATGTTTTTTTTCTTGGTTTCACAAGTAAAACTATTTTCCCATGAAATACATTAAGCAAGTGCAAGGAAAATCTATATTGTGAAAATTGAGTCTAAAGATTCACGATTCAATGATTTAATCGAGATTGAATAAAAGTTAGATCAGATATCGTAATAAATATTTAAATTATTTTAATGTAATTTTAATAATAGAATAATGATATATTAATATTATTTTTTTATTCAACAAATAATATTTTAATATAAGACAATTTCTTAAAATTTTAAAGAGTGATATTTTCTTTCATTTTTTTTTTAAATTTAAACATCTTATTTCTTAGTATCATGTCAAAATAAAAAAAAAAAAATTAAAAATGAATAATATTTAAGCTGCTCGGTTCTTTAAAAATTGGACCGATTGGTTCTCTAATTTAACCTCAGTTCTGACCAATTCAATCTCAGTTCTAATGTAAAAAATGATTTTGAACTTTGACCGAACCGGCTGAATGACCAAGCTAGTCGAGGAAAAAAAATATTTGCCTTACCCACAATTCTCCAAAACAAACACAACCCAAGTGATGTGAGATTTTTTTTACATCAATTTAAGCAATGCATGATTTTATTTAGTGATTATTCATAAATAAATATATAGCTTGGCGAGCAATAAGAAACAGAGCAAGAGATTACAAGGAAACATTAATGAAGATGGAATGAGGTGATGTCTCTAGTTTATATTCTCTCACACATAATCATTACACATTTCTCAAAGAAATGTAATTTAATTCAATTTGAATGGTGTGGCTGTAATTTCTCAACAATTCAGCAGAACTTTTTTTCTTCTTCTTCCCAGAATGATTTCAGACATCTTCGACCAAAGAAATTGGAACACTATAAACTTTTAATGACATATAACATGAAAATAAAAGGAGGAATTACATCATACCATTCAACTCCAATGTCTTTATCTATCAAACACCTAAACTTCAATTTTTGCATATATGTCATCTTATCTGTACATGAAATGGTACACTTCACTTTTTAAAAGTCAAAATAACGAAGATTTTTTATGCATGTGAAAGATTTGAGTGGTATAAATATAAAAAGGTGAAATTCATGTGTTAGATATGTAAATACGATAGAATTGGGTGGTATGCATGTAAATACAACAACAACAAACATTTATCTTAGTGGGGTCGGCTACATGAATATTTTCTCCATTATGTCATATTGGGTGGTTATGTAAAAACAAACTAATTAGATATATTGAGAGGTCAAATTTCATGAACAAAACACCAAAAATGATAAAAAATAATGCTCTCATCTCATTATTGATCAGTTGTAACACAATGTGCAGCCTCCATGGAGAAATAAGAGCAGCAAAAAATGAGCCGAACAATGCAGCATTCACAATATACAATAAATCAACTGATCGGAA